TCCCCTTGGGCACCTCCTTGGGCATGTGTTGCATTTGAATCCCCTTGGGTATGTGTTGCATTTTTATTGTGTATATAGTGGTTGGTATAAATATTTTTGTTGTTTTCGAATCCCCTTGGGTATGTGTTGCATTTTTGTTGTATATATAGTGGTTGGTATAAATAGAAATATTTTTGTTGTGTATATAGTGGTTGGTATAAATATAAATATTTTTGTAAATAATATAAAAGACGTAAAAAAATGAAAAATAAAAAAATTAATTTTTTATATAACCGTTAATTTTTGTTGTATATAGTGGTATAATTATTTTTGTAAATAATATGAAAGGTATAAAAAAAATAAAAATAAAAAGTTTATTCTATTTGAAATCTCCATCTTTCTACTAACAATCTCTTTTACTAAATATATTATAGAAACCTAAAAAAATAAATTTTTGAAAAATTGAAGCGTTATTTTCAAAATTTGTACGCATTTTATTAATTTTTACATTGATAACCAAATCTTTTATTTTATTTATGAATTTTTACATTATAAATCATGTAATGTACTATTTTTCTTACAGTTGTCAATAATACATTTTAAATTAGATAATATTATAAAATATTTTAAATTTGTTATTATTTTTTTAATAAAATAATTATAAAATGTAAACTAATAATTATAATTTCAGTATATAATATTATAATTAGTGAGGTTGTAATAATTTTGGATTGTAGTTAGTTAGGCTGTAATAGTTTGGGTTTTTTTAGCGGGTCAGGGTTTTTCGCCAAAACGAGATTTTAATGGCCATTCTTTCATTGATTAGTCTACTCTTTATAATAGTCCATATATAATTATATATTTTATCCATGATAATTCTATGATTTTTCTTTTATGTGATGCAAATTTAATAGTTAAAATAAATTTATACAGGGAAAAAACATCTCAATATTCATAAATTGATAAAAAAATAAAAGTTAATAATGTAGTACCCTCATTTTTTATTAGATTCTTAAAAAACAACATTTATAATGAATTTTAATAATTTTTTTGGATTTTTTTGAAGCTTTAATCCTACCGATTCAGCCGATTTCCGATTCTGATCACCGATTTGCCGATCCGGATCGATTTTTAAGGTGCCCTATCCGGGTCACCGATCCGTTTTTTAAACCATTGGTTTCAACAATTGGGCCGGGATGGGCTAGCTTTTATTGTTCGACTAGATTTGGTGGGAGGACCGGTTTGAGCCCGACCATAAATCGGATGGTTTACCTACCTTTTTTTTACTTTGCATAACCAAAATTTAGAAATTCAATTTATCTCTTATTTGTTCTCTAAGTACTTCCAATTTTGAGCTCAAAACCCTTGATCTTCCATTTCTTTTAGGATGCAGTTGGCATACGGATGCATCCGTAGCTGTAGAGGTAAGGTGCACCTTCAAATTTTATCATAGTATATAATTTTGATGTAATATGTTCTTAGGATTATCTCAAAATCTATTTTTATATCTAGTTATAAAAATTTAAATTTCAAAATTGGTTAAAATCAAGTAGATCTAAAAACATATGAAAATCTTGAAAATGGACGGTGTAGATAATATGTTGTAAAATGTACTATTTCTGAGACTTTAAAATATGATCAATCAACATTAAAACTACTTTTTCCGATGGATTTTTGAGGTGCATCCGTAGTCCTACATTATAAGGTTGCATCATTATATAAATTTTTTCCTTTCTTTTATTTGCCCCGGTTTTCTCAACCAAAATTCATGAAATTTACGTAAGAAATAACATCAAAGAACTTAACATACCTATAACACACTTTCTCCTCTACAAATTCTTGTTCAAAGAGATATAGAGGTCTTGAAAATACCTCATATTTCCAAAAAACTTATTTAGTTTTTTTTATTCATGATTTTATTACGTTTCTTAGAGAATTTTTTCCTCAATCTACAAAGGTATTGCATGATTTTTAAAAATATATTTGTAGATTTTGATTTTTAATCATATATTATGTATTCATAAAGCCTTCAGATTTTTTAATATATGTATGTATATATAGATTTAACAACTTCTCAAAATACAAATGTTAATGTTAGAATGTGTTGTGATGGATGTATTTATAAAAAAATAATTATTTTTTATTTAAAAATTTATTTTAATAGGTAACTTAATCATTAAGTAAGAACAAATTTGAAATTTTTATCAAAGTACAATAATATTTTGGAATTTCAACTTTATTTATAGATGACCATTGTCCTTAATAAAAATTTTAACTTTACCCCTAATAGAGATGACAAAAGTACTCATTTTTTTAATAATATTTACAAAAAGGCCCCTATTGCATAAGCAAGATATAACAAAAAGTAACTTTGCTTTTTTTTAAAAAAAAACCACATATTAGTGAATCCACATTTACAACTCATTTATCAATCCACATTTACAACTCATTTATCATTAACCTTTGTAATTGAAGGGTTATGAATTGTAGTTTATTTTTTTGTTAGATTTCATCATGGGTGTTTTTTGAGGTAAAGTATTATTTTAAATAATATTTCAATTTAATTTTTTATTTTTTAATTGTTTTTTTGGATCTGCATAAACATTTTGACAATAACGGCTTCGGATTGCCAAATCCACCAAGTGAGATCGGGACTGCTGTGTCACTAGCAAGTTGCAAAAATCTGATTTTTAAAGCACCATTTTGGAAGCCACCAAAACCTATGGTCTAGAAAACTAAACCAGAATTAGAGAGGAAACACAAATACATGGTTTGACCATTTGAGGCATTTGTGATTGAGATATAAATAATCATTTGGGGTTAAAAGCCTGTACCATAAATGAAATAAAAGCTGTCTTAACCTCCTTTTCTTTTCTTTTTTTTCATCCACAAAATACTATCGTTGCTCTCTCTCTCTCTCTCTCTTCATCCACAAGCAGGGCTGGTAATGGGCTGGGTGGCTTAGCCAAATAAAAAAAAAAAAAAGTAGGGCCTGGACCACAAATATGGCCCAAGGGCTCGGCCAGGGCTGACCCTCGGGTTGAGCTACCATGTCTCAAGGACCCATTCTGGTCCAAGGCTGCAACAGGGTCGGCCCTGCCTTACCGAGCACGATTTTCGTGTTTTTCTTTTTTCCCTTATTTCTTTTAGTGTCTTAGGCTTGGCACAGAAAGGGCTAGGCCCAGGCTTGGCCATGTGCCTCTTCGGCCCAATCCGGCTTGGGTGGGCTCTGGCCTACCTTATAGGGACCACGGCTAGGGATGGCCCGACATAGGCCCAACTGTTGCCAGCCCTATATCAAGCTCTTTATCTTTCTCTCTCTAACACTACCATGGCAATCCGTCTCTCTCTACACTCTTTCTTGATCTTGCTCTTTGTAATACTCTATCCATGGCGATCTCTCTGTATTCATCCACAAGCTCTGTCTCTATAAAACGCCATTCATACCTGGCTGAAACCTAAACGAAGCAAGAGAGAAGCCAGAGAGTCAACCATGACCGCCCAAACCCTTAAACCTCTCTCTCACACTTTCTCTCAACCCTCGATTTCTTCACAGTTTGGGCAAGCAAGAGAGAAGCCAGAGAGTCAACCATGACCGCCCAAACCCTTAAACCTCTCTCTCACACTTTCTCTCAACCCTCGATTTCTTCACAGTTTGGACAAGTAGCATCTACTAAAGCACATCTATTTTCAGAGGTTGGAGCTTGAGAAGATGTAGGCCAGAGTCTCAGGGAAATAGAAATTTTGATTGGTAAATTTGTTTTTTTTTTTGGATTTTCATTTAATTTTTTTTTTTTTTTCATCTTTGATGGTATCTCATCTTTTCGAAAGAGATGAAGATTTCAGATATGAGTGGAGGAAGAGGGATGTGAAGTTTCATACAGGAGTTTCAAAGTGTGAAACATTTCGAAAATTTTCAACGAGTTCCAATGGAGATTCATTGTTAAGCTAAAATCGCACTTAAAACTACCCTCAATCATTCATTAATGCGAATGTGGGAGATACGAATGCAATTTGTAAGGTGACTGTCTACATTTTAAAAAGGGAAATTCGTCATAATACTCATAAAACATGAGCTATTCAACAATTTACCCATTTATCAACTATTCCAACTCATGATCGCATGGATTACGATGGACATTTTGAAATTAAGAAAATTCAAATTCCTTTTCCCTTTCAAGGAAGGAAAATATCCTACGCCAGCACTTCTGGTTTCCTATAGCTTGCTACCACTCCCCAACTATCAATGTCAACGGTTAGATTATGTCCAGTACAAGGTGGAAAATAAGCGCTAACATTGCATACAAACAATTGAAGTATCTGATAAAAGAGTATATGTTAAATTTAAGTATAGAATAAGACTATTTATTTTTCATATAAGTAGGTTACAATTATTCATAGCTGTTAGGTTTAAACTCGAATGTGGCGGAGATGTATTATTGATCAAGTTTAAAGTTCAAAAGAAATTTTTTCGATCTTTGCACTATATCCTAAGCTTTAAGATTTAATTTAGGAAAGTTTAGAATGATTGTGACCCATTTGTTTCAAAAGAAAAGAAAATGGACATAGAATATACAATCTCATTGATTGAAAGAAAATGGTTTGATAGGTCTGCAACCCTATCAAAATAAGTAAATCCTCAACTTATAACTCATCGAAAATTGCAAGTCAAGTATTGGAAAACCTCTATATCGATCATCTCGACTTGAACATTATGGTTGTGAAAAAAAATTAGGATTTCAAGCTTTAAAAATAATGCATATTATAATAAATTATCTAGACCGCCCATTTTGCTTTAAAAATAAGTGTCCACAAATTTGCAAGATATGTACTATTTTTTTAATTTCAAAATTTATTGTCGGTGTTGAAAATTGATTTTAGAGCTAACCATACGGATCTCCATTGCCGAAAGTATTTTCCAGATGAGAATGTAAGGTGCGGCTTTATTTTATTTTCGTAAAGCCTAGGTCTCACGAAAACCTCATCCTTAATTAAATACTTGAAAAAGGCAACAAAATAATGTAAAAGAGAACAAAGACATTCTCCTCCACAATTGGCGGTTCTTTATCTTGCTCTTTAATTCTCATATATCCATACTCCATAACCAGCAGTCACAAGCCACGATTTCTATCTTAAATTGCATAAGATCAACTCGCACTTTCCACCAGGAGCCTCCCTGTGGTTCATCTGTAACGGAAACGAAATGTCGGCGTCTGGACTAACGGCCGCCGTTTTCTCAGTCTCCTCGTCTCTCGTGGCTTCTGCCAAGTGTAGAGGACAATGTGGCTTTCTTCGAAAACCAGAGTTATTGGCTCTTAAACCCCTTCGCTCTTTCCGTAAAACCCTAATTTCGCCTTCTCGTAAGGACACAGTGGCCATGGCATTGATCTCTAAACCTCTTGAGGTCTGTGTGAAGGCTTCGACTACAACCCCAAACACGATTGGTGACTGTGAGAGTCTTTACCTTTTTATTATTCCTCCTTTTGTTTCTGTTATTTCTTAGGGTTTATTCGATAGTAATTCTCGGTTTTTCTGAAATTTGTGAATTGTATTTGGGCCTTTTTGCGTTTGGTTTCAGTTCCTATAATTTTTTATTCAGGTTTGAGATATGCCACTGGATTTTGTTGTTATAGGCCACATTTTAATGGAAATGAATCCATGATTCAGATTATGAATATATGGTTCTAAAAATGGGTTTTATGCTTTCATGTGTGCTATATATTGGAGAAACTTAAAACTCATTTGGAATTTGACGACACTTGATATCTATGCATTTTGAGCTATTTGTTATTCTTCCAAGTTTTTACAGAAACTTGTGCTTTTGGTTTCTCGTTCCCCTCCTGTTAGGGTCATTGTCCTTGCTCTATTAGTTTAACAAGTCCTGGGTTTATGATTATGATCCTCTACTTTGAGCTGATTTGTTGAAGACATGGCTTTTTAGCTATTGGACAGTGTGAGTCTGTGAATTAAATACTTAGATGTTTTGATTTATCGGTTGTGATTCCATCCGAACCGTATCCCAACTATTTGAGGTTTGCTACACGAATCCTATTATGCTATTCTGCTCCTTTCGGGCCATCCCGTTGTCCGTTTAGAGTCTTTTACTAGAACCGAATTGCTCATTCTAACCGGTGCTCTTCTAGATCGACGTTGCACATGGCCAGATCACTTAACTCTACTTTTTTCTCATTTTATCACCTATTGGAGTTACCCTTAATTTCCCTTGGATGTCTTCATGGTGAATTCATCCTTTCTTGTCTTGTCCCTCATCTTATCCATCTCAACATCCTCATCTCATATACACTCATTTATAAATATGTTGTTTTTTGGCTGCTCAACATTACGTCCCGTAAAGCATGGTTGGTCTTTTAACTGACCCCAATTAATTAGGATAAGACTTGGATGATGATGATGAAAACATGTTTGGTCTTATATCCATCTTATAGAATTTTCCCTTCAACGATTACATAAGACTTTGGAAACACATCTCCACTTCGTCCACCCAACTCTAAACCTATGTATATCATTTTCCTCAATCACTCCATTCTCATGAATTATCAACCCCAGTTATAGAAAATAATCTCTTTTAGGTACTTCTTGACCATCGATCTTAACCAATTCCTCGTTTCTACTCCTATTGTTATTAAAATTGCAATCCGTATGTTTTGTCTTTCTCTAGCTAATTTTAAAACTTTTAGATTTTGGAGCATCCCTTCAAAGTTCTAACTTTGTGTTGATGTGGTCTCTAGTCTCATCAATCAAAGCTACATGCACTACAATACCTCATCATGTAGATGCCTAGTTAACTTATCCATGACCAAACCTAAAAGTTATGTTAATCTTGGTGATATTCAAAAAATAAGAAAATCGTAAGGTTATGTTGAAATGTAAAATCAATGTAGATATTTTATATGTAATTTTGATCTTTTGATGATTGGTTGTCTTATTTTCTATTTTTATATTCTCCTCATTTTTTAGATTTCTCTAAAATATCTCCAGCTACAAATTAATTCTCTCTAAATCTATGTTTCATATATTTTTTTCATCTTATTTGGACATTTAATGTTGTTTTGATGATGATTGGTTGCGTGCCAAGGCCGAGTAAAACAGTCGAGGCCGAGGGCTACCTGCTGAATTTTGAACATTCTCTCTAATTAATTCTCTCCAAATCCGAGTGGACACAACCAAATTAATTCTCTCTAAATCTATGTTTCATATATTCAACCCTCTACAATATCCCCATACTAATTTTTTGGATCAAAGCCTGGAATTTGAGAGATTTGGCTTGAATAATTCTATCTTTTTTGGGGGAAAAAATGCATTTTTTTTTTCTTTAAACGCTACCCATATCACCAATGCTTAGATTTCTCCCTCATTTTTTTCCTTATTCATCATTGTATTCATGATTAATTTTTTCATTTAATTGCATTTTTCTATTTCTTTGGATTTTTCCATTTTCTTTTTCCAAGCCCTTTGTGGACTGGTGCAGAACTTGGCAAGTCCATTCATATTTGCCCTGTTTAATTGGCTTAGACAATGGTTGAGACCTGAGCCCAATCCAAGTTTTGAAATGGTGGATTCTGGACGCATTAATCTCTTTGTGAAAGACTATGAGTGTTATGTCCTTTGTTTTTTTGAAATTTTTTGTCTTTTAGGAGTTCTTATTCTTTGCTTCTTCTAACTAAACTTGCCATCATGTGGAAGTGTTAGTAGAGTTCATTGTTTGTCATGGCCTTGTCTGTTTTTTTTTTTTTTATATATATATATATAGATAGATAGAGGGAAAAGATCCTGTGAACCCCACGGGCTGATAGCTATAGTGTCAGCCAATGGCCCAGATTGCATCTGAGCCTAATCCATTGGTCACGACCTCATTTCGTATTTGAATTTTCATTTTTTTATACAAATCCAAATCACTTGAAGTTTTCAGCGTTTATTCTTAAAAAATAGTAGAATCTAATAAAAATATTAAAAAAATAATTTGGAAAATATCAATTGACCAAAATAACCCCAAAATATTTTGGGGGTATTTTGGTCAATTTATATTTTACGAATTATTTTTTATATTTTTATTAGGTATGCCTTGATCAGTAGAATGTATGCCTAAATTTTCAAGTGATTTTGATTTGTAGAAAAAAAATGAAAATTCAAATACGAAATAAGGTCTTGACAGTTAGATCGGCCCAGATTCAATCTGGGCCATTGGCTGACACTGTAGCAGTCAGCCACAGCATCCATTCCCATATATAGGTGCTCTTTCCTTGGCAAGGGATTTTAATTGCATACCCTTCATATGAAATTTGAATCTTTTGTTTCTTGTAAAACGTTTAGCATAAGTATTGAAGTAAATTACTGGGATTATGTGCTTGTTCTTGATGTGTTACTTGTATTTTATTCATTGAGTTTTGTGGATTGTGAAGAATGACAATCAAGATTGTTTTATTTGATGAATATTTGTTTTTGGTATCTATATAATGCCAATAAAAGTTCTCCATGAGTATGAAAGCTGAGGCTAAAAGATTTTCTGTTTCCAGGCCCATTCTGTCAGAGGATTTTGCTGACTCTTGAAGAGAAGCATCTCCCGTATGACATGAAGTTGATTGATTTGGCTAAGAAGCCTGATTGGTAGCTCCCTAATCTACTTTCATAATGCTTTACAATGAAATGAGCTATTGAGTGTCCTAACCATTAGCAATTGTGTTTTATACGAAATTCATATTCATGCTCAGGTTCTTGAAAATTAATCCAGAGGGAAAAGTTCCTGTTCTCAATCTGGAAGATCAGTGGATCTCAGACTCAGATGTTATTGCTCAGCTATTGGAAGAGAAATACCCTGAACCATCATTAGCAACCCCACCTGAGAAGGCATCAGTGTATGAATTTCAACTTTTATCAAGTTGCCAATGCTTGTTTTTTGGTTGGAACTGACTATCAAAAAAAAAAAAGAAGAAAAAGAAATGCAAACATATCATTGTTTATTTAGATAAATCTATGTTATCTTGTTTTTATGTGGTGTTTAGTTTTATTTCCTGCTTCAGATTTCTATATGGTTATAACTTTTTTGATGCATGCTAGCTATTTGAAGTAGTGTTTTAAAATAGAGAACTGGGCAGAGGGTGCATCCAAGTCGGCTTGCTTACCCCTGGGTTTGACCTGTCAAGACTTGATTGAGACTCACTACTTTTTTTTAAGGACACAAGCAAACTTGTTCAAGGTTCAGTAAGATTCAGTCAGACTCGATAAGACACGGGTAGTCTAACATGGGGTCATTTGGAACCTGTACGTTGGTGGTTCGGAATGACTCAGGCAAGTCCGAATTGGACTTGCTTAGTCGTTTTATACGGATTTGAAGAGCTAAAAAATTTCTTGCTTTGCAGCGATGATTCACATACTAATAGTTTAATGTATAACCATATTTGCATTTAGAAAGAAGCATTAAAAAGTAAATTTTGTTGCATTATTGTGTTGGAGGTATGTTTTTTCTTCTCTACTGTAAAATCAAGGCCTCAATTAGGAAGTTGTTAGTTTGTTTCACTTATCAGTTTCAAAATGAAAAAGTACTTTGATTATCCTGAGGATCTTATTGAGTACCTCGTATTTGCTATTTATAAATTTTATTCTATGATTCATGCCTTGTATTATCTGAATGAGACAATTATACTGGATTTGTGCTCCATTGGAATGCATCAGTTTATAGTTCGAATGTGATGCAGCCCAGAGTATTGCTCTTGAGTTTCTAGATAAGGGAGAAGCTTAAAGTTTACAAGAGGAACCGCAAAAGGATAACTTAGTAATTGAGTCTATCTTTTTATGTCTTTTATTTATTATTTGAGTCATTTTATTTACTTAGGGGCATGAGTAATAGTTTTTAGAGTCTTTTATGTCTTTTTATGTACTTAATATCTTTTTATAATAAATTTCCATGATGAGATTAGATGGATGACCAAGATTAAGTCTTGTTTAGGGTTTTTGTTATTTGAAGGATGTATCAATCATAATGAAAGATCTATTATGGACTTTATTCAAAACCCTAGACCAGCAAGTGTTCCTTTTATCTCTGGTTTTTGCATCTTTCTCTAATTTTGGATCTTCCCTATCTTCTTATTTGCTAAACCCTAGCTTCAAGCTGCTAGGTCTGTGCCAGGTTGGTATGAGAGGTAGTAGCTTGGAGCTAGGTTTTAACAAAGAAGAAGATATGGAAGATCTAAAATTAGAGAAAGATGCAAAAATCAAAGATAAAAGAAATACTTGCTGCTCCTAAGGTTTTGAATGAAGTCTATAACATGATCCGTCATTATGCTTGATACATTCCTTATATAAGAAAACCTAAACAGGACTTAATCTTGGCCATCCATCTAATCTAATTATGGCCATTTATTATAAAAATGCTTTAAGTGAATAAAAAGACATAAAAGACTTTAAAAATTACTACTTATGCCCCTAAGTAAATACAATGACTCAAGAAAGAAATAAAAGACATAAAAGGATAGACTCAATGACTAATTTGCGCATCTGCAGTTCCTCTTGTAAACTTTAAGCTTGTCTCTCTTATCTAGATACTTGAGAGCAATATTATGGGCTACATCAGTCCCCCCTTCCTCGAAAAAATTCGCCCTCGAATTCGGAGACTTGTCGTTGGAGGTATTACCGCGATATGGGATGAGATGCTCGACATTAAAAATATTGGAAGTGCGAATATGGCTGGAAAGCTTTAATTTGTAGCCATTGTCATTAGTCTTCTGCACCACTTCATACGGTCCAATCTTGTGTTGGCTCGACTTATGATATTCCCCTACTGGAAATCTATCTTTAGTCATGAGACTCATGACTGCGCACACAAAATCTCCACATCATAAATCCTATGCTGGCAATGCTTGTCAACTGCTGCCTTATATTTGGCATCATACGCCTTAAATTTGTGAATGCACAGCTCCAATGAATTGCCTTTAACAGATAACACAATCACCTGTTTTGGACCAAATAAAACATCAAACACATGACAACCTCTCAATAAAACATTTAGCACTGCCTGATCATGAAACTCCTTCATGTCCATCTTGGAAAATACAACATGTAGTAAGGAAAAGTAAGTTTCCCAGTAAGAAGCTTCATATGCCATAAATTTGGCATCATACGCCATAAATTTGCGAATGCACAACTCCAATGAATTGCCTTTAACAGATAACAAAATCACCTGTTTTGGACCAAATAAAACATCAAACACATCACAACCTCTCAATAAAACAATTAGCACTGCCTGATCATGAAACTCCTTCATGTGCGTCTTGGAAAATACAACATGTAGTAAGGAAATGTAAGTTTCCCAGTAAGAAGCTTCATTCTGCTATGTTACACATTTTACTGCTTCGCGTCTATCAAGAACATGCTTCTTTGTCCAAATAAGGAAAGCCCATTATAGCATATCATACCATTCAAGAGATAACCCCTCTTGAATGGTTCTTTGTCCATTCAAGAGATAACCCCTCTTGAAACTCCTTCATGTCCATCTTGGAAAATACAACATGTAGTAAGGAAATGTAAGTTTCCCAGTAAGAAGCTTCATTCTGCTATGTTACACATTTTACTGCTTCGCGTCTATCAAGAACATGCTTCTTTGTCCAAGTAAGGAAAGCCCATTATAGCGTACCATACCATTATAACATACCATACCATTCCATAGATTTCTACTGGTTCTAATCCCAGATGTACAAGGCCATGTATGGCAGGAATGCCATAGGCATACTGATTTGCTTGCCAACAATATGGACAATACTTAACTGCCATCAACAATATTGCTAGATTCACATGTCTATCATCAATGATGAATATGCACTCTCCCCAATTTTGACGAACCAATTCAAGAAACAAGAGAGATATGTGTTCCAACTTACTGTATCTCTCATAGAAAATTTATCCATCATTGTCCATGTTTTGTCCACATGGAAAATTATAACATTTGTAGCACATATGCATAATGTTATCGTGAATAAACATACCTGAGATAACTCGCTTACAGACTTTAAAATTGCTTGAGATGAATGCATTGCAGCCACGAGCTCCTTCCATTAGAACTTGGTGAATTGTTGTTGTTGAGGCTCTCTATTCAAAACAAAGCAATAGCCTAGTGCAATCACCCCATCTTCACCATTATACACACTATCACCACCATTATCTTCCCGAACAATAACATGTTCTTCATTGAAAATAGGACCTTCTTTCTTTACATCAAATGTAGGTTCACCAACGCCTTTATCATAAATTGATTCTTCTACCAAACTCAAATCCTCATTAGGGTACACATCAAAGGTTGGTGGTAAGTCCCCATGATCACTATAGGTCATTTCTGGGTCATCTTCATCAATTGGCTCATCTAAATGGGATCACCTTCAAAAGAATGCTTGTTGTCCTCATCATAAAACTCCGGGATCTCAACCTTGAGACCGGTTTCTCACCTCCTATTATCCCTGCTAGTGGGAGTGTATAGAAACCAAAATACAAGGACTTGCACTTTAACGATGTGTAACAATTTGACAATACAACTCAAAACTCCTACAAATTACTACACCATTGGCCTTGCAAGCCTCAATTACAGCAACATCAGTGAGTTTACAGTCAACAAACACTTCTTATGCACTCAAAATAAAGAGGATACAACTCAATTTGGGTTCCTTCTCTTAGACAATTCAGAACTATACAAGGAGATCAATGAACTACATTGATATATAGTGCATTTAAAAATTCAGCACTATGCAAATTTACATTGCAAAACTATACATCAAATGACTTCGTAAACTTCAACAAAACTGATCTTCATATATAAACACGCAAATACTCAAGTGAACAATGCAACATGACCACGGGAAGCCAATCAAAGCTCTTGGGTGCCTGGTTCACGGTCTTAAGTCTTAGCTATGTGCCATAAAGTGACACATGATGGAAAATCTTGAATTCTGGCCACATTCAATTTGTCAAAGTTGGGAAGCCAAGCATCTATTGATATACGCTTGAAATAGGATTTGCAGCGCTAAAAAGGATCAAACAACTAGTGGAGCTTGGGGGAAAGAAGGAGAGACAAGATCACAAAACCGTAATCAAATTTCACACCCCTTATAAAATCACCATTTTAATTCATCAAATATGAGATATAATTGACTGATCTTGACGTTAAAATCTCAGAGAAATATTAGTCAATTGATCTCCTTAATTCACAAAGAAAGCCTCCTGGGAACTAGATCGATTAAGCATGTATTGTTCTCTCAACAATTAAATCAAGGAATTATGAATCAAGTATCTTAGCGATGATGAAACCTTGCTGTAATTTGGATTTTACAGCAAGAAGAAACAATAAAATAGTGGTAGAAGGATTAGATCTTACTCAATTGAACGACCCAATGTTTCAAAAAGTGTTAGGTAGTGCCGAGGCGGCAGGGGCTCCAGGTCGCCTAGCGCTTAGGTGGGCGCTTAGAACCTGGGCGGCCCAGTAGAAAGAAAAATGTCTTTATAGTGTAACAACATAAGTATAACTGTATAACACATAAGAATTAGGGATTTAGGGTTGTATCTTTTGTCTCTATGTCTCAATGTTTCTTGAACCGGTTTATGCCCCTTTTTGTATCCTTTTCACAAAACTTGCATCTAATGCAATTTCCATCTTGGATCACCACTTCGATTAGATCCTGAAGAAGAGATCTCATAATAATACGAGCAATTAAAAAAAATCACCAACTTTGATTGTTCGATCTCCAAACTTCCACCTTCAAGATGTTTCTAAGGACTCAAAATCTTCTAAAAAAACCCTTTAATGGATTTATAAAACATCCAAAACTAAATCTAATTTCAATGGGTGATGCTTAGATCAATTTCTCGTAACTTTGAGAAACCCTTCAATCTTATGGAAATCACCAAAAACTAGTTTTTTGATGTTTATCTCTCTTTAAAATAGGCTCAAATGGGTTTTAGGTTTCAAAAGAACCCAAAACACACAATTTTCTCCCTTTATTAATAAAAAAGTGATAAAAAAATTCCCTCAACAAGGCACATTTCCACCCATGAGTGGGGTGCATGCCCTGGATGGCCGCCCAGGGCTAGGCGCTAGGTGGGTTCCCGAGTGCCTAGGCTGGTGCCCAGGGATATCCCGCCTAATTTGGTGCCTAGGCTTGGGCAATGCACTCAGGCCTTCCGGATTGCTTAGACGGCCGCCCAGGTGTTGGGCGGTCGACTTTTTAAAGCACTAGGAGGACCTTTTAACTGCTAGATTATCTATGGCTTTGATTGAGCTTGAATTGATCATCAATTGAGCTTTCTCTCACTAGAACTGATCACTCACTTCATTCAAGTTTGATATCATGGAGGAAGAGAGGGAGAAAGAGAGAAATTGGCTTGGGCGTGCTACACTTGGACAGATGGAGAGAGAGTGGTATGTGAATTAGAGAGAGAAAGTGAAGACTCAGGTATGTAGGAATGAATGAGTGGGGTAATTTATAGTCTTCTAGCTACCAAGTGTATAGATGCTTCTAGATAAATGAATCTAGGTCTTCCATGTCATCATCATATGGCTACAAAGAGAGGCTTGATCCTAACCACCATCCACCATCATGCCATCTTGATGTGTGGTATGGATTTGAACACCCTTATCCTCCTTTTTAAAAACCATAATTACTCCAAATTCCCCTTGTATGAAAACACCCTTTGCTCTTTCCAAACAATTAAACTTAAAACCAAAGTGGAGGGCATACCCTCGAGGTAATTAGGCACAATTCCAGCAAAAATCAAATTTAAAGCTTTCCCTTCATTTTGAAAGAGCATGTGTGGCCAACTAAAGATGCCACATGTATAAGTTGGTTAAGTGCACAATTATCACATGCCTTTAGGGTTTAAATAAAAATATCAAACCCTGTGCCCCTTCTAGAAGGGCTCACACACATGCACATACCACCTGCTTTTAACATTTAACTTGTGCCTAAAATCATCATTATCATCATGCCTTTTCCCAACTAATTGGGGCAGCTACACAAATCTTGGTTCGTCATTCTGCTGTATCAAAGGCCATACCTTTAGTGAGGCCATAAGTCCCCATATATTTTCTCACTACTTTCAACGATGCCCTTTTGAGCCTACCCCTTACCCTTTTTGATCCTTCTACTAGAGCTGACTTGCACCTCCAAACAACTGTTGTATTGGGTCTCTACTGCACATGGATAACTCGCCTAAACTTACTATCTCTCATCTTATCGCCTATTGGTGCAACACCTAAATTCTCTCGAATGTTTCATTTCGAATTTTATCTCTTCTTGTCTTACCACTCATGCATATCAACATCTTCATTCAGCCACACTCATTTTATGGTTATATTGTTTCTTGATCACCCAACATTCTGCCCCATAAAGCAGAGCTAGTCTCACAACTATTGTGTAGAACTTGCCCTTACGCAGCGATGACATGAAACTCCGGTTGCGCATCTCCACTTCGCCCACCTAGCTTAAATCTATGTGGTGCGCCTTCCTCAATCTCTCCATTTTCCTGGATTAGACCCAAGTATTGAAAGTATGTTCCTTTTGGTATTTATTGGCCGTCAATCTTAACTACTTCTTTGTTTCTGCTCCTATTATTACTAAACTTGCATTCCGTATATTCTGTTTTAGTCTGGCTGATTTTAAAATCTTTAGATTTAAGAGCATCCCTCCAAAGTTCTAACTTTGTGTTAACGTTGTTTCGGGTCTCATCAATTAAAACTACATCGTCTCCGAACAACATACACCACGATACCTCATCTTGTAGGTGTCTAGTTAAATCATCTATAACTAAGATGAAGAGGTATGGGCTCAATGCTGACCCTTGATATAGATCTATTGTTACTGAAGATTTACTTGTCTACCCACTAGTTGTTTGCACACTAGTTAGCACTCCCTCGTACATATCTCTCACCAAGTCGATGTAGTGTTTGGAGATTCCTTTATTTTAGAACACCCACCAAATCAAATATTGAGGTACTCTATCATAAGCTTTCTCATGATCAATAAAGATTGTGTGGAGGTCTTTTTCCTTCGCCCTAAACTTCTCAATCAGTAACATGTGCTTAAAATAAATTTTCAATTTTTCAAAATAACACAAAGTAGGACATTTAAATATCATCCACTTAGAATAACAATTCAACAAAGGACAAGGGGGTCCCATGGGGGTTGATGTCCCCCCCACTTGGGCTGATGTGGGATCCCCCATACCCACGTGGACACTCATTAGCCATTCCGGTGTCCTTTTCGGGTCCCAGGAGGTCTGTCCTTGATCATCTTTTTGGAAAAACAATTCCAAAAAACTCATTTTCTTGCCCAGAAGAATGTAAAAAAACCTCTAAAAATTCACAAAAATCGTTTTAATAATTTTCCATTAAAATAAATCATTTTGACATTGTTTAAAAAACATTTCCAAGTGGAATTAGGATCTTATGGAGTTGAATTAGGAATTAGAGGACTCCACTTGATTAAACTCAGAATTCAAAGCCTTCTCGGTACGACCCAACAAACTTAAGACCCACAATGTTTAATCAGGGGCTCATGATATAGCCTATCAAATTTAAACCAATAAGTGACCCTGAATCCCCAAGTACTAGTGGATTTCAGTGGCCTCCCTAGAGGACATGCACACACATGGTGCGAGGGTTCCTTTCTTGGCACATATGTATACCTCTTACCAATGGATCCCTAGAGGGGATCTCTAGAGGAGTGACTTCCCATGCTTTGCGACTGTTTATGAACATGCTATGAGAAGGTTCTTTGAGTCAGGGATTTAGGCCAATGTCCTCTGTTAGCCTTAACCTTCCCATTCAAGGCTAATTTGGTCATCGAGCTCATATCATCAATCACATAAATCATATCACCCTGGCCCATCATGTTGTCATGAGGCTAAAAAATAATAACCGACATTGACTTAGAGGTAACCCTTAACCCACTCGGTACCTTCCATGCATACAAATCCTCATCATTTCAGGGTTCTATAACTGTTGGTCCCTGTGCGCCAAGATTCTAGAGTCATGTTGCTTTTTGACTCCCACTGAAGTCAAGAGTTATTATAATGTCGTAAGTTTAAGGCCTTGAAAGGACATAATTCAAACAATCAGTACGATTAGCTAGCTCTCTCCTTGGAGCTTGATCATGGAAGGGATTTATGGTTTCCTCATTTGCCTCGATCTCATTATTTTGAGATGGGTCTTCCATCTGGGCCAAACACAAAGCTAGGGTTTTGACCAATCTCCTTATATCAGCAATCCCTTCTTGTGAACTAGAATCTAATACTTCTAAGGTTGCCGCTTTTCCTCCTTTTTGTCTTCGTCGAGGCATGGTTGTTGCTCTAGGGCACAAAAATCGACGCTACTGTACTATACCACAGTAACATGTAATAGTGTCATACTATAGTAACCTGCTACAGTACCATCTGTACTGATTGTCAGGCTTTGATACCTACCTAGCGCAGACTTAGTAGCTTGGAGCTAGGGTTTAGCAAAGAAGATAGGGAAGATTCAAAATTATAGAAAGATGCAAAAGCTAGAGATAAAAGAAGGAGCACTTGCTGCTTAGGGTTTTGAATAAAGTCCATAACATGATCCTTCATTATGCTTCATATATCATTTATGTAAGAAAACCCTAAACAACACTTAGTCTTGGCCATCCATCTAATTTAATAACGGCCATTTATTATAAACAAATTTTATGTGAATAAAAGACATAAAAGACTAAAAAAAGTACTACTTATGCCCTTAAGTAAATTAAATGACTCAAATAATAAATAAAAGACATAAAAGGATACTCAATTACTAATTTCCCTTTTTACGTTTCCTCTTCAAAACTTTAAGCTTGTCTCTCTACGTACTCGAGAGCAGTATTCTAGGCTGCATCAGAAACTTAATTACTTTATGAGTTGGCCAATCTAAATAAGTGGGATCAGTTGCATGAAATGAAAGCATTTGGCTTGATTTTGAGGATGTTTTTAGATTCTTGAGTTTTTTTTAGACATAAAGACTCTGTAGTGTATGTGTGAAGTAGACTATCGGTAGAGAGTATGCATGTTTCTATCACAATTTTTAATTTAGCTTAGAGATAAACATAGAGGAGACATTATTTTACTTGAACCTTGTGGTATATAGCAGCTTTATCCTCCTATGAGGCAGATTTGAAGTTTAGGCAGTGGTTCCTCCAGTATTTTGTGTCTAAAATTACATTAGCACCTCTTTTTTAGGTTCCCAGATATTGTCAGTTATTGGATTGGGGTCCAAACCAATTCCCGTGACCCCTTTTGGTGGGTTTATGTGTGAATTGTGAAGGTGGAGATGGATCTAGAATTATGAAACCTTGAGATTCCAAAAAGGCTCTCTAAGTAATAGCTTTTCGGGTTTTCTTTGCTTACTGGATTCATGGAAGGAGGCTGTCGTATTGATTAAGTGATCATACACCAGATTTTGAATTCTTTTCAATCTTGGCTTCATTTATTGGTTTTGTTTATATGACATCGAAGGATGGTGGTGTTTCTCTCCCTTTAAACAAATTCGTAATTCTTATTCATATTGAAAAGAGAAGTTTCATTAGATACATTTATGTTTTGCCTTTTTCTTAAGTATTTCATTCGAAATTGATGGTTATGCTATTCGTTGACGTTCTCAGGTTTTATTTTTTGTTCTTAATGTTCCATTCACTGGGCATGGAAATGCATTCATAATTACTATTAAGGCTTTGTATTTCAGATTCTGATGTATCTAATCATTTATGTGCAGAGGTTCAAAAATCTTTTCAACTTTTATTAGTTTTCTCAAAAGTAAAGACCCTAATGATGGAACAGAGCAAGAATTGTTGAAAGAACTGGGTTCCTTCAATGATTATATTAAAGAAAATGTGAGTGATATTGCTAGTTAATTGGTGTTGATGAGCTGTTTAATTTTGTAATATTCCATTGGCATTGAAAGTTTTCCGCTGATATCTTCTATATGAAAGCTACTAGATTCTTATTATTTCAATTGTCATTGGAAGAGCATTCTGGCCCTTCTGGGTTGGAAACATGCATTGATTGTCAACTATATTTATTTGAAATGCAAAATCCCACAACCAACTCCATTGATCACCTCGAAAATGAAAGTTCATCAATTCTCATTGAGACTGACTCTCTCTCTCTCTCTCGACCCTTAAAAGCCCTCTCTATGACTTTATTATTATGCTCACTTTTGGCTCTCTCCCCTTCCTGATTATGTCCAAGCTCTTTCTCTCGCTTCTCTCTTCTCAAGCTGAGAAGCCTGAAGCTCTTCTCTGAGAGTCCCACTTTGTGAAGCTCGCTGTGTAGCTCTCTACGAAGCCCTTATGAAGCTCTTTGTGAACCTTCCTGTGTAGCTTTCTATGAAGTCCTCTCTGAAGCACTTTGTGAAGCCCATTTTCTTCAAAGCTCTCGGTTTTTAAGTTCAATCAAACTATCAAAGCCTTATTTTCTCTGTGAAGCTCCCATTTTCATTCAATCCCTGTGAGGCTCCCATTTTCTGAGTCTTTTTCCAGGTTTCTTTTGAGTGATCTTGCGCAAGGGAGGATTGTGTGAAGGCAGCTATTAGTGGATTTTAAATAAGCTCCTCTGTTGGTTTCCTTCTACACCAACCTCTACTCTCTTTGTGTTCCTTTCCCAACGCCATATGAGGTAACTTTGAGTCTTAACCTCTTTTTCTGGGGAAAGGAAGGCCTTCTTTTTTTTTCCTGTCTTGTTACTCCATGAATATATGCCACCATTATCACTACCCACCCAATTACACTGTGTCCTCTGATAACTGTAATATTCCTTCCCACCCAGCAATTACAATCTCCACTAAACTTCTCAACCTCATGTAAGCCAACGCCACCACCACACACCAAACAAAGACCGGATGGCAGCCAAAAGCAAACCACCTTAACTAATGCCCTACGTAATCCACACAACTGACTCAACCATTCTCAATCATTCGAAACCCCACTACCCTCGCACCCACAAACCATTACCAAACGTATGCTCATGTAGTAAAACGACCTATCATCTGCAATGGCCCAACAAATGTGTTATCAAAACCTAAACCACAAGCTCAAACATGGTTACCCTGCATATGAATGCTTACAGATCCAAGGAGACTTTTTGCAGCATAGAACTGAACTCAAAGAATCAGCCATTGCCTGCTTCAACTCACCGAGGGACAATTCAATAAAATCCAGAAATGGGCTGCAGCCACTTGGAAATCTCCCTAAAGAACATGCCAAGCACTATTCAAAAACTCATCTCCTTCACAGCATAGATGATCAGCACGGCAGTCAAGAGCAGAAATCTTCACTTCAGAGGCGTTAACTCCAACTCAAGCCTTGCAGCCCAAACTTCTCTTCCATTCATCTTAATAGATTATGGATTGTCATCCCAAGCACTCCAATGCATGCCGGGCATCAAACCACTCCCAAAATCATCTGGAATCATTGTGGAGGTTTTCTCAAAGTCGATAAAAAAGCCTTTCAACATCTTTCCTTCAGATTCTCTTAAACTAATTCACGCTCCACTCAGAAGATCCCTGTCCATGGAGATTACTGTCCAAATTGGAGACGGTTTTTATGGCATAGCCATCTCAATACAGAATCCTGCTTCATCCAACCTCCATTCCACCTATATTGTGGACCACCAAGAGTACCAACCTTGGTACCAGTCCATTGCTCCGGAGGTTGCACAGAAGGGTCGACCACCTTGATTTGCAAATGCCGATACTCTAGGAGGAAAAACAAAAACCAAGTGGCAGAACATCCTCCAACCATGTGGACTCCATTTTCGCCTCCCAACCTCATCACCCTAATCCAGTGCCCTGCAAAAATCTCACCAGTACCCTTCCTAATAATCAAGATCTCATGTTTTCAAATCATATGACCCTTCCACGTCAACATATCTCCCGTGCCGTCCCCCAAACCTAAACCTAAACCTAAACCTACCAATGACCTTGTACCATCATACGTCTACCCAAAACCTTACTTGCATCACCTATTTGTAACCAAAATCACCTCGGTGGCGGTTTTCAACATCTGTCATGAAACCTTAAATTTAGCAAGCCACGAGCAGCTCTGGTAACTAGGCCACACCCCAGCCACCAAAACATCCCCGACTATTCTCGACCCCCATCATGGTGTTTGACGTGGTTGTCATGAGTCAAATCAACTTGATCTGCTTAGAACACACCTAGCAGACAACATTAAAGGCCTTGCCACCACAGGCTCTATCTCCCATCCCAACATACCCTAGTCCAAAACCAACCTGAAAATACAATCTTACTGGAAATCGAGCGATCCATTGCACAACAAACATTTAAGGAAACATTTAGCTCGCCCCCAATCCATGAATTCATGTCATGTCAGATCCCAAGTGCTAGAATCGTAGTCTTGCTCTTCTGATGCTTCCACTCCCTAGAAACTTCTTCTAAATCATCCCCATACAAAGCTGGGGGCAGGTTGATCACGTAATCAAAGCCAACATTATACGATGCTTCCCTAACCTCTGTAACTTCTGCCTTAATATGCTTCCAAGGTCCTAATTCTCTCCCTTCAAGCAAAACCAACCCCCCCCTCCCCAAAAAAAACACAAAAACCGTGGCGTTGAGGGGGAAAACAAAACCTCAAAACCCACTCTTTTGTGATTTATCGAAAGATCGATAAATTTTTTATTGTTTCGATATCCTCTGAAAAAAAAAGGCAATAGTTCGTGGGTGAATTTAGAGCTTCTTGGAGTTGATTTTGAGAACTTTTGACAGCCCAATAGACGAGGTTTGCACTGACATCAATTTGATTTTGATAATTTTAAGGTATTATTATATTTGAAAGAGGGTTTTGATTTTTTTTTTTTGAGTAAAGAAAGAGGGTTTTGTTTTATTTTGCTACAATATATTATGTTATATATCATGTGTTTTTTCTTTTACTTTTTTTTCTTTTATGATATTTTTACATGTTTGTAGTTAAAGGATTGATTTGTTTTGTGAATAATTGAATTTTTTCTCATTTGGACGATGAAATTGAGCATATATTGTATTTTTTTATAAATAGGTGATTCCTTTTTTATACAATGTGTCATGTTTTGATATTCTATTATTTTTGTTTTATTTTATTTGATAAATAATTGATTATGTGATATCTTAATGGCTTAAGTCTTATGTGAAAGTGAAACTATGGTCTTATATATTCAGTTATTCATTTAAGTCTTCTTGTAAAGTAATAGTTAATGACGTAATTCTTTAATCTTATATATTGTACAGGTTTGTTGATTAGGTGATTGATTCTAATTCACATTGATTGATACTCGATCAATTATTATTTATTGAGGATAATGACTTCTAGTACATCAAGTAGGCCAACTAATCCAAGTTGGAAGTATGGAACTTTTCCAAATCCTCTGATCTGTAAATGTGTTATTGGATTGTACTATTACATTTTTTTCTATTTCACGAGGTTTCTCGGGGGATGGGGTGTGGTGTTTCAATTTTGGTGAGGGCACCTTGTCTCAGGGTGGGAGCCTAGGCGGTCAGGCACCCAAAACACTTAGGTGGCCGAAACGCATTTTTGAACATTGGGTGCGGGAGCTTGGGATCGATCCTTTGCTGAAGTTCCCCCTACACTTGGAGTCCTTAGAACCGTTGCTCAGGAAGCGACTTGGGAGCGATTTCCTATATATGCGCAACATGTATATGGGAGTATAGGGGGAACACCCCATGTTGTAAATTATTATGTGTGTGTGTGTGTGCGTGTGCGTGTGCACATGCGTGTGGGTGTGGGGGTATGTGTGTGGGGGTGTGTTCGTGTCTTTGTGCGTGGTGTCCTCAGTTATTACTGTATATTATTGCAATTACCTAAATGATGTGAATCATAAATGTATGTGTATGCATATATTTACAAATATTTTTTGTGAAATTTTTTAGAAGTGATATTTTGAAACTAAAAGAGCAAACAATCAAATCTTTAACATTATTAATGTGCTGAACACATGCTAATAAGAACTTTATTGCTAGAAAGTCGAATAAAAAATTATGAAATCCAAGAAAAAGAGTACATGTGGAGTCTATAGATATAAGAGTAGAAATGATATACATAAGAAACTTATGAAATTTAGACAGATTTTCTATCATAAATAGAATAATTTATAAGAAATTAAGGAGGCATTTTGTATTAAAAAAATGTTATATACGAAAATTTTAATAACTAAAAATCAAGGAAAATATTTTAGGAAGATTTGAAGTGAGATATAATAAATGCATAAAATGATATTAAATTGATTATTTAAGAAATGTAAGATACAAAGGGCATTACGAAATCCAAGAAATGTTTTTATGTTATAAACATAAGTTCTTAAATGAAACTTAAGGGAATAAATAAATCAATGAAAAATGTTATTATTTCATTACACTTTCGAATAATAATAATAATAAAATATGTTCGTCAATTGAATAGACACTTTTGAAAGGTAGATAAGGCATTTTGTAGGTCTAAGAAGGGTGATGACTTTAAACTTTCCCTTAAGCCATCCCATACCCGGGTAAAAGGGCAATGATTGTGTTGGGTAGGTAGCTAATGTAAAATTTTACCAAAACCCATCATGAATCCTGAAAAACTTATAGTATTTGCTTATTCTAGGGCGTTGCCCGAAAGCGAGTGCTGTACCGGAGTGTAGCGGAGATGAGGATGTTGAGATGGATGTGTGGCAAGACAAGAAGGGATAGAATTCACAATAAATCTATTTGAGAGAATTTAGGCGTGGCACCAATAGGAGATAAAATAAAAGAGAGTAGACTTAGGTGAGCTGGCCATGTGTGGCACCGACCAAGTACAACACCTGTTAGGAGATGCGAATTAGTTCAAGTGGAAGGACTGAA